TCTCTCTCTCTCTCTCTCTCTCTCTCTCTCTCTCTCTCTCCGACAGTAGTTTAATTGCCGACTCGCCGCTATGTCGGCAATATTTGTTTATGATATGATACACAGGTACCATACAGCCGTATCGTTTTGCTATTGCAGTCAATAATGCCTTAGAGTTGGCGTGAGGTGCACAGCTAATAGGTAGAAGGCGTATAGGGGGAAGTATGAGTGGTTACCATATATATGAACCCCTGATGCTCCGGACAAACCACTGGTCAGGCATGATTCTAGGACCAGTTGTTAGAAACATCGTTGCTAGTTATGACATCGACATAAGTATAAAAAATCTCACACTTTTGAAGTGTCACGCAAAGTTTACGACATCTCAGACCCAAACTGTCTATGTATGATGTATATTACAACGAGCCCCCGGGTCCCAAGGATACCGGTAAATATCGGAGGTAAATCTGCACATATATAGTCTCTATTGCATGACATATCTACGGAGAGGACCTTCCCCCACCACCCCCACATACACACACGCAAGTCGTGGATGGATGGATGGGATTTGCCCTCGCTCATAGATCATGCATGTCGTATTTCCCCTACGCCGCTGCTGCTATGTGTATGTGTGTGTGTGTGTGTGCGTGCGTGCGTGCATGCGTGCGTGCGTGCGTGCGCGTGCATACAGGAATCGTGCATGCCCCACAGGACACAATGGTGTCACCGTATCATTACGGTGAGTGAGAGAGAGGGGGGGGATGTAAAGTGGTGGGTAGGCTATTATCGAGGTACACGACCTTTTCCCACTGCACACAGTAGAGTGGGAGAGGCAGCAAGCAATCTCTCCACTGGGCTACACAAATTTCGATCCACATCTGTAAACCCATGACTGGCCAGTTCTGGTCAGCCACCATAGTGATTGATGGATGGGTATACAGGGCCCGGGGTAGAAATTACCATGGTCCAACGGACTCCCTGTCTTCAAAAAGAGGGAGTCCGCGGCAAAATGAGGGAGTCCGCAGTCTGAAGTTCAAAATTAAAGATATTAACAATAACACATGTGCTTATTTTGAAGATTCATGCAGTTGCACGTCTGCCAAATTTTCCAATTGCCACGTTTGGACATTTGCTGAAAAAATATGGTAATTCCACGAGGCTGTGCTCTGGAGTCTGGAACGAACTAGTTAGTATGGCAGAATTTTCAGGGAGTCATACGGACTCCTGCATATGCCAAATTAGGAGTCCGACAGTAAATCAGGGAGTATTTGACCCCGGACTCCCGTTTATTTCTCACCCTGGCATATAAAAACATAACCCTGAATGTAGGAGTCCAGCCGACAATGTTACATGGAAGGTTTACCACATAGAGGAAGGTCGGTCAGTGCCGTGTGTATGGCATCCCAAGCTAGCCTTCTCTCCACAGGCCAAGTACCACCAATTTGGCCCACACTCTCGGCCATGTATCTACTTGTGCTTCAGCACGCCTCACGTGGAACACATGTGCTTGTGTCTATAGCCTGACAGCCAGAATCCAGAGATGTAACAGACATCTCTATATTATCAATAGCTTAGAAACGCTTAGTTAAAGAGGGTTATAACTTATAACCCCTAGGGTTAGAGTTAGAGCATTGGTAGGAGTTAGATTAGAGACAGTACGTGTTAGCGTTAGGGACAGGGTTAGAGTTAGATTAGGAACAGTGTTCTAGTTAGATTGAGGACAGTGCTAGAGTTAGATTGAGGACAGTGCTAGAGTTAGATTGAGGACAGTGCTAGAGTTAGATTATGGTTAAGGTTATGGTATATGATGATATCTACAGGGGTCATAAAATAATATTGAGCCGCGTACATTAACATTTGGCATGCACTTGTATTCGGAACATGAAGGGAGGCCAATGTATTATAGAGCACTCATGCAAAGCCCCGAAAATTAGGCACTCTGGTTCCCTCGTGCGTTCATGCTGCCTCCCCTTCATTATTTATTGACTCACACATAGAATTGGTACACATCCTAGAAGTGGTGGATTCCACACGTCCACACGATGCTGCGTGTTAGTGAAAGATGTTCCACTACTGATGACTGAGTGTATGTATAGCAGGAGTGTATGTATAGCAGGACTGTATATATATAGCTCTACACGTATAACGACTTCGCTGCCCCCCACCCCCGCTATAAAGGGGAAACCCTAACCTTAATCTCTACAGGTAGGGAGAGCAAATTAAGGAACTAGACAGGTAGTGCTAGCACATCTAGTAGTAGAAACTGTCAAACTGGATACAAATACGTAACCTGGCAGAGTAGCGTCACTATG